ATGAATAATTTTAAAAAATCTGATCAAAGTATAGTTCAGTATCTGTATTCCAGTTTTTAGGAGATCTATATAAAACCTTCTAATCTAACGAATAGCTACATATAAATGTTTTAGAATATATTTCTTAGGAGCTAAAGGGCTCACAAAAAAGTTTCTAAAGGATCCCCAAGAAACGTGGAATATTTTTTGAAGAACCCCCAAAAAAACGTAGATTTTTAAAAATAATTTTTAAAGAACCCTCCAAGAAACGTGGATTTTTAAAAACTTATTTTTTCAAAGACGTGGAATTCTTAAATATATTTTTTAAGCATTCTCAAAAACGTGTATTTATTTTAAAAATATTTTTTTCGAGGACTTTCATGAAACGTTGATTTTTAAAAATATTTTTTTAAGGACCCTCAAGTTTTTTTAAGCCCTCTCAACAAATGTGGTTTTTTAAAACCTATTTTTCTAAAGACTTCCAAGAAACGTGGTTTTTTTAGGATTACCAAGAAATGTGGATATTTAAAAAATATTTTTTCAAGGACTCCCATGTAACGTGGATTTTTAAAAAATATTTTTATAAGGATAACCAATAATAAAAATATTATTTTAAGGATAACAAATAAACGTGAATTTTTTTAAAAATATTATTTTAAGAATAACCAATAAACGTGGATTTTTTTAAAAATATTTTTTTAAGGATAACCGAAAAACTTAAATTTTTAAAAAATATTATTTTATTGATAACCAATAAACGTGAATTTTTTAAAAAAATATTTTTCAAGGATAACCAAAAAACGTGGATTTTTTAAAAATATTTTCTCAAAGACTACCAAAATATTTTTTTTAAAGACTCTCAAGAATCGTGGATTTCTTAAAAATATTTATTTGAAGGATTACCAAGAAATATGGATTTTTTAAAAATATTTTTTAAAGTACTCCCAAGGAACGTAGCTTTTTTAAAAATATTTTTTCAAAGACTCCCAGGAAATGTGGAATTTTTTAAAATATTTTTAATGGACTTCCGAGAAATGCAGATTTTTTAAAAATATTTTTCAAGGACTACCAAGAAACGTGGATTTTTTAAAAATATTTTCTCAAAGACTACCAAAATATTTTTTTTAAAGACTCTCAAGAATCGTGGATTTCTTAAAAATATTTGTTTGAAGGATTACCAAGAAATTTAGATTTTTTAAAAATATTTTTTCAAGTACTCCCAAGAAACGTGGCGTTTTTAAAAATATTTTTTCAAAGACTCCCAGGAAATGTGGAATTTTTTAAAATATTTTTAATGGACTCCCGAGAAATGCAGATTTTTTAAAAATATTTTTCAAGGACTCCCAAGAAACGAGGATTTTTTAAAATTATTTTTTCAAGGACTCATAAGAAACGTGGATTTTTTAAAAATATATTTTCAAGGACTCATAAGAAACGTGGATTTTTTAAAAATATTTTTTTCAAGGACTCCCAAGAAACGTGGATTTTTTAAAAATATTTTTTTAAGGACTCCAAGAAACGTGAATTTTTTAAAAATATTTTTATAAGGATAACCAATAAACGTGGATTTTTTAAAAATATTATTTTAAGGATAACCAATAAACGTGAATTTTTTAAAAATATTATTTTAAGGATAAACAAAAAACGTGATTTTTTTTAAAATATTTTTTTAAGGATAAACAAAAAACGTGGATTTTTTAAAAATATTTTCTCAAAGACTACCAAAATATTTTTTTAAAGACTCTCAAGAATCGTGGATTTTTTAAAAATATTTTTTGAAGGACTCCCAAGGTATCTGCATTTTTTAAAAATATTTTTTGATAGACTCCCAAATAATGTGGATTTTTCTAAAAATATTTTTTCTGGAGCTAACATGAAATATAGACTTTTTAAAAATTATTTACAGGACTGCTAACAATCGTGGAATTTAAAAAATCAACGTCTCCCAAGAAACGTGAATTTTTGAAAAATATTTTTTTAAGCACTCCCAAGAAACGTGGAGTTTTGAAAACATTTTGAGAACTCCTACGAATTTCGGATTTTAATTTTTTTTTTTAAGAAATCCCGTGAAATTTAGATTTTTGTAGGACTCCCAAAAGAACATGGACTTTCTTAAAAATTTTTTTCAAGGATCCCTAGATTTTTAAAAAATATATTTTTTAAGTATCGCCAACAAACGTGGATTTTTTAAAAATACTTCTTAAGGACTTCCAAGAAACGTGGATTTTTTAAAATACTTTTTCAAGGGCTTCCAAGAGACGTGGATTTTTTTAAAAAATATTGTTTAAGGACTCAAAAGAAACTTGAATTTTCTAAAAACATTTTTTCAAGGACACCCAATAAATGCTGGATGTGGTTCACGTAATAATAATTTTTAATTTGTGTATAATTATATTTTTTGGTTATCATTATTTTAACATTTTTAATCAACAGAAAACTACAATACCAATTAACTTCCAACATAATTTGCCACATGTCATATTTAATTACCTTACCCTAAGGAACAAGTTTTTGCCCTTTTTTTTAAATCTGTGTTCACTTGTTTTATTTTAAGGAGAGAAAAAAAAAACAATCACAGCTCGTAGTTCTGTTCGCTTATTGCTCCCATCCTCCCTATATAACACCCTCCATCCCTCGTTTTTTCCCCTCTTAAACTTGAATTTCTGATTAGCATTCCCGACACATTTAACCAGCCATAACATGGTCACGTCATCGCACAGCCGTTTGTAAACTCGTTAAACACTTCTTAACCACTCCGTTCGCGCTTGGCTGGACTTAGTTAGTAGGGTTGTGAGCACCATAGGTCCCTCGACCGCTCAACAATGCCAGCCAGCACCCACATTAGCCAGCCACAGAGGGCTCAGGCTCATCGGACGAACTACGTGTGGCGAAACTTTTCAGAGTTGATTTTTAATTTAGTTTTGCCATAGTTTTTGTTTTGCGTTTTCTTCGTTGATTTTTCCCCAGTTTTCCCAATGCCACGTTTTAGAGTTGAAAATGAAACCAAGCGGCGGACTGCCATGGCTGAGCAAATGCAACATTGGAGGATGTTAATGTCATTTAAAGAGCTCCGCTTGGAATTAAGTTGGGAATTTTCTGTTTTTTCCCTGGCATTTTCTCTTTTTTCCTTGCTGCTGCATGTTTTGTCATATAGTTCATGTGCTATTTTTCCAAGTGGTATCCCTCCATGGTACTATTGGCATCCTGCGGTTGTTTATTTCCCTCACCCCTTTTGGCATCGGTACGAAATGAAACGTTATTTTAGTTTTTCACGTTGTTGTTGTTTTTGTTTTTCTCATTCTTGGCTTCTTCGCTTTGGTAAAGTTTTAACGTTTGTTTTAATTACATTTGATGCTCGGAGCCAGCAATGAACGACGAGCGATGGATTGGCAATGCCCAGCATTGGGAGCATTTAAAATGTTGTGCATTTCCCATTTATTTTCGGTTTGTTTCAACTTCAGCCCTGATGCCTTTACATTGCCAGCAAGCGTGTTCTGTATTCTTCTTTTTTTCATTCTCCTGACTCGCTGTAACAAAATTTGCGGAAAAATGTGATAAATGCAGTTTGGTTGATTTTTTTTTTTATTAAATGGTGATAATTTTTTGCACGACTTCATTGAACGTTTTCGCCACTGCAGTTTACAGTTGTAGATCTGATACAAATAACAACAACAGTAGAAAACTGGAAGTGAGAGTTGAAAATTTGTTCGCTTAAAAAGTTTTGAATGAGATTGCTTTTAGTCATTTAGATGGTTAGTTATCCAAAGTTAAAAAAAAAATAATTTTTAAGATCAGTATGTCCTTGAAGGAGCATTCATAAAAATTACTCGTAAAAATATTCATAAAAAACACTTTTATCTGTAGTCCTTGAAAAAATATTTATTAAAAAATCCAGGTTTCATGGGAGTCTTTAAAAAAATATTTTTTAAAAAATCCAAGTTCTTGGGAGTCCTTGAAAAAATATTTTTAAATAATCCACGTGTCTTGGGAGTCCTTGAAAAAATATTTTTAAAAAATCCACGTTTCTTGGGAGTCCTTGAAAAAATATTTTTGAAAAATTCACTTATATTGGTAGTCCTAGAAGAAAATATTTTTAAAAAATCCACGGGTCGTGGGAATCTTTGAAAAATATTTTTAAAAAATCTACGTTTCGTAGGAGTCCTTGAAAAAACATTTTTAAAAAATCTACTTTTCTTAGGAGTCCTTGAAAAAACATTTTTAAAAAATCCGCGTTTCTTAGGAGTCTTTAAAAAAATATTTAAAAAAAATCCACGTTCCTTGGGAGTCCTTGAAAAAATATTTATGAAAAAATCCACCTTTTATTGGGAGTCCTTGGAAAAATATTTGCAAGTTTCTTTTGAAAAAATCCACATTTCTTGGAAGACACTAAAAATATTTTAAAAAATCCACGTTTCTTTAGAGTACTTGAAAAAATATTTTTAAAAAATCCACGTTTCTTGGGAGTCATTGAAAAAATATTTTTAAAAAATCCACGTTGAAAAAATATTTTTAAAAAATTCACTTTCCTTGGAAGTCCTTTTAAAAATATTTTTAAAAAATCCACGTTTCGTGGAAGTCCCTAAAAAATATTTTTAAAAAATCCACGTTTCGTGGAGGTCTTTAAAAATATATATTTAAAAAATCCACGTTTCTTGGGAGTCCCTGCAAAAATATTTTTGAAAAATCCCGTTTCTTTGGGTCCTGCAAAAAATATTTTTAAAAAATCCAAGAGTCTTGGAAGTCCTAGAAATATCCCCGTTTCATGGGATTCCTTGAAAAATATTTTTAAAAACTCTACGATTCTTGGTAGTCCTTGAATTTTTTTTTTAATAAATCCGCGTTTCTTGCTAGTAATTAAAAAAATATTTTTTTTAAAAAATAACATTTTTTGGAAGTCCTTGACCTCCTTCCCTTACAGAATCCAAATATTTATTTCCCCAATATTTCCACTCAGAAATTATTTATAATTATCATCCATTATTAAAAATAAATAAACAAGGATTTTCCTCCTTTTCACTTACCATGCACGGTGGCCGTTTGATAAGCTGGCGGAGGTGGTGGCAGCATTTCGGTTTGTTGCTGCTGCTGCTGTGATCCCGACTCGGTCGCCGCATTCGTACCATTGGCCAGGGTTAAACTTTGTTTTCTTCGATGTGGCATTTGAATGGTGTGATATTTCAGCATTGGCGGCAAGGGGCCAGACATTGTGCCCAAAAGGGTATTATTACTGGTACTGGTGATGGTCGTAGTGGCTGTTGGTGCGGCTGCCGTACCAGATAACGCTAATGGATTTTGGGCACCACTACCAACTGGTGTCACAATTGGAAAGTAGACAGTTGTGGTCGAGCCACTTGCCAATGGATTTATGCTAAGATTTGCAGCACCACCACTACTGCCGACGCCACCCGAGTTCGTCCCAACTCCTGCCCCGCCACCACAATGGACCGCAGATGTTTGAAAACGCAACATATTCGTGGGCACCGCCATAAAATGTTGGGCACCACTTAATGTCGCCGGATTCCCGGGCGGACCGGGTGGTGGTATAATGTAGTGTCTTATCGACTGCTGGTGGGTCGGTGAGGAGTTATTGGACGTGGAGGAGACAATGTGATATGTGGCCATAGGCGGTGCAAAATAACGGGGTGTTGTGCCACCAACACCTGCCGTCGAGGTGTTGGGCATCAGAAGACGGCAATTACCCGAGCCGGGCGAAGACAATTTGTGTCCGGTTGTTGATGCCATAAGCATGACGTCTGGTCGTTGTTGATAGTATGCAGGATGTTGTTGTGAGAGCTGCTGATGTTGTGCTTGTTGTTGTTGGCCTGTTATTGTGCCTCCCATTGCTGGTGACATTTTCAACTGCATACAGCTACCGTATTGTTGAAGCTGTTGCTGCTGTTGTTGTTGATTGAGTTTTCCTGCTGTTGTTTTGTGGTTAGTTAAAGAGAGAAGGACAAAGGAGAGGAAGACGAGGGAAAGGAGAAAAAAATAGTTAATAATTAATTAATAGTTTATTTCTTAATGTAGACAGAAGGACCTCCAGTCAAAAAGGTTATATGAAATATTCTCCGTTGATAGATGCCCTACGCTAGGCCCTCCACAAATAAAGAATTTTTACAAGCCAAGGACCTTTTATATTGACAGAAAACTCCTGAGAGCTCCTCTATGAATGGAGAACACTCTCAAGGCCTACTTTGAATAGAGGTCCATTGAGAGTTCCTTTTTCAGTGAAGAAAGACTGAAGGTCCTACATGATCACAGGACCTCAAAATTGCCTTAACAGGAGACTTTTTGAAGGTCGAAGGACTTTTATATTGTCAGAGAACCTCTGGTAGGTTCTCCATGAACAGAGAAGCTTCTAAAGGCCTGCTTTAAACAGAGGTCCATTAAAATTTCTTTTTTCAGTGAAGAAAATATGAAGGGCCTTCATGATCATAGGACCTACTAATTGCCTTAACAGGGGACTGTTTGAAAGTCCTTTATACACAAAGACCTATTTTAAAACCAGAGGACCATTCTTTATTAAGGCCCTTCATGGCCACAGGATTTCCAATAGGTTCTCTAGGGACGAATTTATTTAAGATCCTTTGAAATCCAGAAATACTTTCCAAGATTCTCTGTGAAGTCCTCTACGAAGGAAGGACCCTTCGATGGTCGCCTAAAGACAGAGGACCCTTTGTAGCCCTCCAGTAAAAAGTTAACTTTGAAGTATCTCCATAGAAAAGGGAATCGTTGCACAGCAAAAAGTCCTAAGAAAGGGTATCTTAAAAGACCTCTATTTAAGGAGGACATTAACACTTAAAAAAGGACGTTAGAAAGGTCCTCTATAGAAAGACAACCTCTGAAAAGGACATTTAAAAGGACCTCTCTTAAATGAGGTCGTGTTAAAGGTCGCCTATAGAAATAGGTCCTTTGAAAGTTTCTCTATAGATAGAGGCTCTTTGAAGCGTCCTCTAAAGCACGAGGACGTTTTCTCCATACAAATTCCTAGAAAAGAGACAGAGGAACCTTTGTAGCCCTCCAAAAAAAAAATTGCTTTGAAGTATCTCCATAGAAAAGGGAACCATTGAAATGACCTGTACAGCAAAAAGTCCTAAGGAAGGGTCTCTTAAAAGAACTCTATAAAATAAAGAAATTTACACTTTAAAAAGGTCGTTAGGAATGTCCTCTATAAGAAGACAACCTTTGAAAAGGCCTCTACAGAAAAGGACATTTGAAAGGACCTCTCTTGCAAGAGGTCGTGTTGAAGGTCCCCTATAAATAGAGGCTCTTTGAAGCGTCCTCTAAAGCACGAGGACGTTTTCTCCATACAAATTCCTTGAAAAAAGACAGAGGAACCTTTGTAGCCCTCCAAAAAAAAATTTGCTTTTAAGTATCTCCATAGAAAAGGGAACCATTGAAATGACCTGTACAGCAAGAAGTTCTTAGAAAGGGTCTCTGAAGGAAAGAAGATCTCTTAAAAGACCTCTATAAAGAGAGGGCAATTACATTGTAGAAAAAATGGCGTTGAAAGGTCCTCTATAGAAAGACAACCTTTGAGAAGGCTTCTACAGAAAAGGACATTTGAAAGGACCTCTTTTGAAAAAAGGTAGTATTAAAGGTCCCCTATAGAAAAAGCCCCTTTGAAAGGTCCTCTGTAGATAGAGGTTCTTTGAAGCGTCCGCTGAAGCACGAGGACGTTTTCTCCATACAAATTCCTTAAAAAAAGACAGAGGAACCTTTGTAGCCCTCCAATAAGAAATTAGGTTTGAAGTATCTCCATAGAAAAGGGAACCATTGAAATGACCTGTATAGCAAAAAGTCCTAAGAAAGGGTCTTTTAATTACCTCTAAAAAAGAGGGCATTTACACTTTAAAAATACGTTAGAAAGGTCCTCCATAGAAAGACAACCTTTGAAAAGGCCTCTACAGAAAAAGACATTTGAAAGGCCCTCCCTTGACAGAGGTCGTGTTAAGGGTCGCCTGTAGAAAAACGGCTCTTTGAAAGGTTCTCTATAGATAGAGGTTCTTTGAAGCGCCAGGACGTTTTCTTCATACAAATTCCTTGAAAAAGGCAGAGGAACCTTTGTAGCCCTCCATTAAAAATTAGCATAGAAAAGGGAACCATTGAAATGACCTGTGCAGCAAAAAGTCCTAAGGAAGGGTCTGTTAAATACCTTTATAAAAGGATGGCATTAACTCTTAAAAAGGACATAAGAAAAGTCCTCCCAAGAAAGACAACCTTTGAAAAGGCCTCTACAGAAAAGGACATTTGAAAGGACCTCTCTTGAATGGTCCTCTTTGAAAGGTCCTCTATAGATAGAGATTCTCTAAAGCACGAGGACGTTTCCTTCATAGAAAGGGCAACTTTAAAAGGACACATGAAGGAAAAGAGAGTCCTCTAAAGAGATGACCTTGAAAGGACCTCTAAAGAAAAGAAATCTGTAAAAAAGTCCTTTATGGAAAGAGGACCTTTGACAGATTCTTTAATGGGCCTATAGACCTATTGAAAGAGGATATTAGAGGACATTTGTGACCTTCTTTAAAAAAATCGACCTCTGAAATATAACATTCAGATTAAAAGCCTTTCAAAAGGGACTTTAGAGGTCCTTTAAAAAATCAGATAACAGATAACATTTAGATAAAAAGCCTTTCAAAAGGGACTTAAGAGGTCCTGTAAAAGTTCATCTACAGAAGGATGACTTTTAAAAGGACCTCCACTGGAAAAGCTTTTGAAAGGACATCGGCAGAAAAGGAACCTTTGGTAAGTCATCTACAAAAATGACTTTTGAGAGAACCTCTTAAGAAAAGGAACAGCAAAAAGTCATATCAAAATGAGGATCTAAACCACAGGAGAGAACTGCTAGAAAGAGGATCCTTTGTGGGCCCTGTCTGGGCAAAGGACCTTTAAATACCCTCTATGGGCAAAGGACCTTCAAAGGTCGCCTGTGGACAAAGGAACGGAGAGGGGGCCTGCAAAAGTGGAAATTTTATATATCCTTCAGGACACCTTTTGAAAGGCTTCTAAGTAGAAAGGAAGCTTTGAAGGTTCCTTAGGGTTACAGATCCTTTTCGAGGTCCTTTGTGAACAAGGGATCTTTGAATGGCCCTATATGGTCAAAGGATTTGTTTAGGATATTTCATGGTCAATATTCCTTGTGAGGATCTCTGTAGAGGATCTTTGCGGACAGAGGTCCCAGTTAAAGTGAATATTTTAAAAAAACTTCTATGCACAGTTAGTATTTTGAAGTTTCGTTAAGAAAATAGTACTTTTTGAAGGTCCTTTGTGGTTAAATGACCCTTGAAGGTCGTACGGACATAGGATCTTTTAAGGAGTAACTTTTATGTATGGTTTTTGACAGATAATCTCTTAAAGCAAAGAGCATTGTTAAGGTCCGCTGTACACCTCTTGAGCATCTTTGTAGTAATTTTTGCACAGGAGATATTTTGAAGTTCCGTTATCAAAATAGTACTTTTTGAAGGTTCTTTGTGGTTAAATGACCCTTGAAGGTCGTAGGCACATAGGACCTTTTAAAGAGGAGCTTTTATGTATGGTTTTCGACAGAGAACCTTTTAAAGCAAAGGACCTTATTAAGGTCCGCTGTATACCTCTTAGACATTAAAAGTTCCTCGGTGTACAAAGACATTTTGGTCATCTAAAGATCATGTTTATGGTAATTTTTGTACAGGAGATCTATTGGAGGTCCTTTATGGGCAGAGGATCTTGTAAAGGTCTCCTCTAGAAAATATATATTTCAAAAACTCCTCCAAAAGGACTTCTTAAACCTCTGTGGACAATGTACCCTTTAATGGTTCTCTACTTCTAGAAAAACTTGTAAAGGAAAAATCCTTGTGAAAGGACCTTTATAAACCGATTAAAGGAAATCTTTTTAAGAACCTTTTTGGATTACTGGAAGACCTTCTGTGTTTTTATTCCGCACATTCTCATTTCGCTCTATTTCCCCCAGCTCATTTAATTTCTACATCTACTTACCCTCCTTGTAGCCACTTTTTGTTGTCAAGATTGGTGATGCCGTTGCCGATGCGGATGCTGCTGCAGCTGCTGATGACACCTTCAATCCGTCCTCGGGCTGGGTGTTGGTGGTGCATTTGTAGCTGTCATAGACATTGTTCGGATTCGTGTCACTACTAACGCCAATTATGGCATCATATTTACAATTTTTACAATTTATCTGTAAATGGAAATAAAATGTTCATTCAAAATGCAGCAACAAAGGCAATAACAACAAAAGAAAAATAAAAAAAGAAGAGGAAGGGAAGGAAGAGGGAGGGGGGGAGATAGGTGGATGCCGAGTAAATATCATGGAAATCAACATCAAAACTAGTTCAATGTTATAGTGGCACAAATCTTGTTAGCTGGCTTGGCAGTAAAGCTCTTTTGTGGTAAAGCGCACACACACACACTCATAGTGATGTTTACATGTGTGTGAATGATGTGTGAGAGTGTGTTTGTGTCCGTGCATTATGTGAAAGTGTGTTTGTTTTGTTGTATAAAAGGATTTGTATTCCATTAAAAATTGTTTTCCATTTAGTTATCTCTCTCTCTCTCTCTCTCTGTCTCTCTCTCTTCCCATCTCTTTAGCTCTTTGTTTTTCTGTTTTTTTCCCACAAATCCACTCGCATTGTTCTCATCCACAGACAATTGCAATCTAATAGAGTTGCATAGTTTGATTACCGTCATTGCAACACACAATTGTATTTGTGTGTGGGTGTGTGTGAGTGTGTGTGTGTGTGTGAATGCGTGTGGATGTGTGTAAAAGAGACTGTATAGAAATGTCGGTATTTTGTGTGTCCTTCTATGTGTTAAGGTATAATTGGCATTTTGTTTTATAGCCTCCACTGGATTTAAATGACTCGGATATGAATTCTAATGGCTTTGTAAAATGCATGCCCAGTAAATGGTTCAAAATATCATAAGCCTCTTTTGTATGGAGGTAAATCTAAAATCTTGATCAAAACAAACCAACAAAATTGATTGAAACTTAAGTGGCAAGAGCCGGAAAACTTATTATTTTTAACAATATTAAAAAAAAAAAAAAATTATGAAAAACTGGATTTTTTTAAGAGTTTAGGATGAGCAGATTTTTATTATTTTTTTAAAGTTATATGTGAATAAAATCCTACAAAGAATATTTTTAATATGTATATATTTTTAAGAATATCGACAGTACGGATTTTTTGAGAAGGTTTCAACGGTGAGGATATTTAAACATTAAAAACAATTCTGTTGTTAAACATTTATGGTAATATGTCGAAAGGTCCTTGAAGATATATTCAGAGAAACAATTACGATTATAGGCCAAAATATCCTCAAGATCCTTAATTCTTTTTTAATATTATTTAGCAATTCATGATGAGTTGCAGAATGGCCCTTAAAAATACATTCTTTAAAATTCAAAATAATCGTATCCAAAAAAGTCACAGATTATATGTCGAATCCAAAATTATAGGTCGAAATTCCCAGTTTTAACAAATCAATGATAAGGTCGGTTATCGGTTATAATTTACAATTATAGGTGGAAACGTCCTTCAAAAAATATACTTAAAAGACTCACAATTATTGACAAAATTATCCTTAGAAAATTTCCTTCAAAATCCTTCTTAATATCCCTACAAACCGCTTAAAAATCATTTAAATATCCATTATTAAAGAGGTCGTTTTAAATTGTTCTTTTAAAATCCATGATTTTTACTGCGTTGCAGACTTCTGAAAATTATCCGTAAAATCTGCTACTTTATGATATGAGGTCCTTTAGGAAAAAGAGCTTTTTAACAACTTTTATTATTGGACAATAAATCTTCGGAAAAGAATCCTTCAAAAATCTACATAATACACCAGAAGGTCCTTAAAGAAATATGCTTTAAAAATCTATGATTATTGTAGCCCAAAGGCACTTGAAAAGTATCAGTTACAAATTCGATACTTTAGGATAATAAATCCTTTACAAAAAATATATGTAATGGTCGTCGGAAAGATATCCCTAAAGCTCCACGATTATATACCAGAACATATTTGTAGAAATAGAAAACACTGTATTTTAAAAATCCAGGATTATGTCCGTAAAGTCCTTGAAAAATCCTTCTTTAAATATTTATGAATATATACCTAATGGCCCTTGAAAAATGCCTGCAGAAAACAAGATACTGTAGAATAGAATGTTCCACTACAAAAATGCATATCTACAATTTTCTATTTTTAGCCAGAGGGTCTTTGGAAAAATCACCTAAAAACTTTACAATTTAAACTAGAAGATACTTGAAAACATATTTTAATAACCCATATTATAGAGCAGGAATGCTTAAAAAAGGTCTTGAAAGAGCTATGATTATACGATTATAGAGAGGGCCCCATTGGAAAATTCCCTTTAAAATCCACCACCATAGGCCTGAAGTTCCTTGAAGAAATATTTTTTTAAGAGCTGCGAATAGAGAGTGAAAGTTTTTGGAAAAATGTCCTTTCAAAATATACAATAATAAGCCTGTCAGTCCTTGGAAAAATATTCTTTAAAATTTACATTAAAACAACGCTACTGTAGACCAGAATGCTTTCACAAATGTATATCTTTAAAGGCCTGAAATTCATTTAAAAAAATATCCTTAAATACTTAACAGTTATAGACCAGAATGAATTTTAACAACAATACCTGGAAACCCCATGATTAAAGGTCGTGAGGTCCTTCACAGATGAATTTTAAAAATCAACTATTTTAAAATCAATAATTCTCAATCCTTGGAAAAATATCCTTTACAACTCTACAATTGTAGCTCTTAAAAATCGACGACGTTTTTGAAAAATATCCTTTAAAAATGTAAGATTTTAGGCCCGGCAGTCCTTGGAAGAATATGCTTTAAAATACACTACTGTTGGCCTAAAGTGACTCTAAAGAAATATATATATATATATTTAAAAACTGCCCTGAAGAACCTATACTTAAAAATTCCAGGATTATAGACCAGAAGAATTACCTTCTGAAAGAATCTTAAAAAAAAATCATTTAAAAATCCACCATTAAAGTTCGTAAGTTCCAGAAAAGTCATTCTTTAAATCTAGTGTTATAGTCCTGAAGGTCCTTTGAAAAATATCCTTAAGAACTCTGCGATTATGGCCTATTCAAATCCACGACTGCAGGAAATGATGTGTATGAAAAAAATATCCTTGTACAATTATAGTCCTTGTAATCCTTGGAAAATATATCATTTAAATATTCTTTTATTGCGTAGAAAATCCTTGAAAAGTATGTTTTCAAAATATGTGAATGTAGCCCTGAAGGGCTTTGAAAATGTCCTTACAAACTCCACGATTATAGACCAGAATGTACTTGCAAAACTATCCTTAAAAAATTTCATAATTAACAGTCGTGAGGTTCCGGAAAATATGCCCTAAAATTATAATAGACGTGATGGAAAAATATCCTTAAAAATCCACCACTATTGGCCTAAAGATCCTTGGAAAAATATATAAATTTTTAAAAACTGCAAATATAAAATAGAAGACCCTTGAAAATTAAAAAAAAGAAATAATCCGCTTCTATAGGACAAAAGGCTCTACATAAAAAATTTCTTTAAAATCTTCTACTTTAGGCCAGAACAATCTATAAAAATATCAGTTAAAAATTAGGGATTGGTGGTGCTTAAGAAATATCCATTAAAAATCCACAATTATTGGCTTCATAATATAAAATATACTTTAAAAAGAGCCTTCCTAAATCTACGAATATTGAGCTGGCTCTCCTTACAAAAAATATATGTTTTTATGTTTGAGAAGTAGGATCTTGAAAATATATCCTTTAGATATTCACCAATAAAACCAGTAAGGACTTTGAAGAATATCCGTCAAAATTCTTCAAAACTAAAGAAAATTCTTAAGAAAAATATCATTTAAAAATACAATATTTTAGATAATAATATCCTTGACAAAAAAATTCTTTAAAATATATGAGTTTTAGACTGGAGGAATCTGCGAAAAGAGGTTTAAATGAACTTGAAAAAATATAAAAAAAAATTCTTTAGAAATTCATCAAAATAGCCTCGAAGGACTTTAAAGAATATACGCGAAAATCCTTCAGAAGTAGTATTTTAGCAAATCTATAATTATAGGACAGAATATGCTTGAAAAATATCCGTTAAAAATTCACTTCAATGGCCCGGACTTCCTCAGAAAAAAAAAATCGTTTGGAAGAAATATTCAAATATCGTTGTAAATTGCAGAGCACAGATTTGCTCAATTTCATTCGGAAGCGTGAGTGGTGGGGGGCGGAGAGGGGGAAGAGAATGAAAATAGGAAATATGGAGAAGTTGGGGAGGTGCCTTGTTTAGAACAAAACATAAAGAGTACTCGACATGATTAGAATCTGCGCGTTTTTGAATGAATTTTTGCTCCCCCTCAAAAACAAGGATAATATGTTCGCCAATATTTGAGGGAAATTGAAAAATTGAGTTGGCTTGATTTTTTCGGAATCCGAGTGAGTTTCACACAAATTCGAGTTTCTAGAAGGACTGGTAAATTGTCGTAAACAAAATCTTCCACATTTCCATTTAAAATCCATTTCATTTTCATTTCCTCTCCTTAAATAATTTAAAATAATTTTCCTCTGTTTAATATTTAATATATGTCTACCTTGGAATTTTTCTTTTACTAATTAATTAATTTATCAAATATTTTTAGATTTAGAAAACGGAAACGGAAATGAAAATGTCAAAGTCATATCAATACAGGCAATATGTGGAAGTTGGTATCAAACGCACACATTCACACACATACAATTATCGCAACATGTAAACGAACCAAGGCAAATCCTACCAATTATGATTAAATTTCATACTCAAATAATTGCACAAACAAACATACAAGGAGGTGAAAGGGTCATATTTCAAAATTGGCATGATATGATTTTGTGATTCTATAATTTTTCAATTTCAATTTTGATAAATTACCAAACCTTTTCACTCCATAATTTCAAGCCCTCTTTCGAATTGAAATAAATAATCATTTTTTCACTTGTCTAAGTTTTGAGGTTTTTCGAACATCTCGTTTCGAACGGGAGACAAGAAGATAAAGCCACAGGCCTTCTTACGCATGGGAATAACCGCAATGCACACACGCACACACATACACACACACCGCACTTACACTCTCACCCATATGTAGTTACGATATTAGAACATAGAGAGA